AAAAAATTGTCAATGTGGAAAAATTTTCAAATTGGCTATATCCCGACCCTTTGTGGTCAAATATTTCGATTCCCCACTCTTGAGATTCACACTAAAATAGATATTTAGTTTACTTCCCGAGGTGTAAATCTAAGGTCGTTTTCAATCACTCATTTCTTTTTCCATTCTACTTTGGTTGGATCTAATTGGCAATCTCAACATGTAGTCGTGATAATTTCTCACTAATGAGTACTTCACATTCAAACTTATACTAAATAATTCAAACGCACTAGTTATCTAAACCCAAAAATCAATTACAATTGCACAACAAAAAGTTTTTTTGTTCCTTTTTTTTTTTATTTTTTTTGTTTTGCTTTTTGTTTTTTTTTTTAGTCAAATCCCATGTTTTATCTCACTCTTTTAAACTTTCTTTTTGACACTTATAGCGAGCTTTAAGTCGATAACTCCAAAATTGTTTAGGCCAAAGGGTACCGAGTTTTAAGATACTCCTATGGACTTAATAACTCGAGTCAAAAAGGTTATGGAGTGAGGCCTAAAATTCAACATGTGCAATATCATTTTATCTTTTTTTTTTAAATACAATAAAAATGGGACTTAAATCTCTAGCATATGGTCATTACCTAGCTTATGCTTGGCAAAAGGTATTTCACACAAATATTTTCAAGATGCATGTAATCAACATCTAAATAATATACTTCACCAACTTGACCACTCCAAAACTTATCTCACAATATGGTTAAGTGAAATAGAATAGAGTATAGGTTGATATAAATTTTCAAACAACTCACAACCTAGTTCAACCAATTCAAAAATATATCCATCAATCAAAAATTTTCCACATCTAGATGACAATTAATCATGACTATTGTGCTCAAAGTAATTTAAAATCTTAAAATGGAAAAAAAAAATTAGGCACAATTAGCATATTTGGTCATGCATAGCTCATGAATCAATAACAATTTCAAACATCAAGCAATCCTAAAACGACAAGACTATCTAACATATCAACACAACATCACCAATTTAAGCACAATCACCCCCAAACTTAAATCACACATTGTTCTTAATGTGTAAAGAACAAGATAAAAGAGAAGAGGAGATAACGAAACTTCCTCGATTGTATATTTGTAAAGAGGTACCAATGCTTAAATTGAACTTGAAATGCTTTGATGAACTTGGGCGTGTAACCTTCTTATACACCAATTTACCCCAAACTTGTGAGGAACTATGGATATGTGGGACTTCAAAAAATACCTGCAAAAAACGATAGCTAATCGAATAAAAATATCAAAATGCATAAAAGTAAATAAAAAGTTTAAAAGTTAAAAGGTTGGGTTGTCCCCCAACAAGCGCTTTTTTATAGTCTTTAGCTCGATTTTGGTCATTGAATCATGAGCACCTAAAGAAAGCTTTGAATGCCTTGCCCATGTTTCTTCTTTTGACTTTGCTCCACTCTTCATTAGATCTCAAAAACTCAAAATTCATTAGATCTCAAAAACTCAAAATTGCCCATTTCCATATAATATGACTTGTCTATTCTATCAAATTCAAATTCAACTATGAAGATTTCTACTTCCTCACTGGGGTTAATCACAAAATCAATATCTTGATAATCAATCAAGTCAAAAGCATGTAAATCGATTTTCTCCTTATTGATTGCCACATCTTCGTTTAGCTTCATTGTGATTGATTTTTCATTCTTTCCAAGCTCTTCTTCAATGATTGATATTTTATCGAATTGAATGATCGGTCCGCTATCAAACTCTATGGGCAATGGCAAGTATTTTCTATTAACCCATTAAGTGGATTATACCCCCACTTTTGAAATCCATCCCAATATTTAATTGTTCAAAATTCAATTACTTCTTCTGAACTTTTTTTAATTGTTCTGTCTGTTGGCATATTATAATTGAAGTAATCAATTAATTCGACAGGCATCACATTTTGAGTTGTAGCGACGTTTGATGAGATGCAAATGTAGACGACATGGCACTAGACGAACACATTACAGTTGCATCATATATAAATGTATTAATGCCTTAAAATAAATTCATTATTTCGACATCGTCTTCTCCAATTTCAGTCGAAGGAGTAGGTGCAGAGGGTATCCGACAAACATTCGCACACATTCGTTCCGCATATAAATCATATATTCCACATAGTATTTGCTCAAAATTCTTATAGGTAATAGGCGTATCAAGTATTAAGACTTTATTGATTTGATCAACTACGTATTTAGTTCTTGAAATATTATATCGGGGGTCCATTGCGCATGCTAAAAGAAATAACATAGGCAATTCTTCCCAATATTTTCTAAACTTTAATTCCATTGCAATTATAATTTCACTAAAATGAGGATCATTTTTACATTTATGGAATGTTCTTACAATTATATAAAAGCGTTCGAGCACCATACAGCTTGTGGGATAATAAACACCCGATAAGATCTTTGTGGTCGCATAAAAAGATGTCAAAATTGTTTAACTTTCAAAACTAAAACCCAATCAGATTCATTCAACATACCATCGTCGTTGCTTCTGACGTGTCTATTATTATAAAAGTCAGTTATTAAATGTTTGAAACCTTCACATGACTATAATAGCAAGTAAGTAGAGTTTCATTTATGCACTACGTCGCTAACAAATGTTTTAGCAGTTGTCACCCCTAGTTCCGCACAAAAATCTTCAAATACTTATTTTCTACTAGGAGATATCGTAATATATACTAATGCGTTCATAATCCCTTAAAGTTCATCATTTATATATTTCAAGTCATCTTGCACAATTAAATTCAAAATATGGCACACACAACGAATATGAAACAAATACCCA